AGTCTTAACCACTGGACCACCAGGGAAGTCCCAAACTAAAATTAATTTTTGACAAATCCAGGTCACTATCATTCAGAGTTTCTACAGCCTGGGTTTTGCTGATCATATCCTGTGCTGTTGTTTAACATGCCCCTTTGCCCTGTGAATTGCCTTTTACTTAGCATTTAGAACTGCTGGTCGAGGCCACTTAAATAACCCTGGCAGACAGTGGGAAGGTGACAGAGTGAGAAGCACCAGGAGTCTGTCTGTCCAACCCGGACAACAACTGCAGAATCTGTCGGCTATAACTATTTTGAAACTCCGGTTTCTCAGGTGGCTCAGTGGTAAAGAATCCGCTGGCCAATGCAGGAGACGCGGCTTCAGTCCCTGGGTTGGGAAGATCCCCTGGAGGAGGACATGGCAACCCACTCCAGTATTCTCTCCTGGAGAATCCGGTGGACAGAGGAGCTTGGCGGGCTACAGTCTATGGAGTTGGTAGGAGGTGGACACGACTGCGCATGCTCTCACCGCACCAGCGTCTGTGGACGGGCTTAACTTCCAGGGGAAGGCTTGATGTAAACTGTGGTTCATTTTAGTCAATTGCAGAGTAGCAGCTACTCATCCACCACCCCCACCCACGCGACAGGCTGCTATGCCTGTGTTCCTGGAGCAGTTTGCCTGCTTGCCTTCCAGATAGCGGAGATCTGTGTTCTGATCGCTGCTTCCCCCGCCACCCCACCCCACCACCTATTTCAAAAGACTCTTTAATACTTTCTTTTCCATTTGAGCCTGTTTTTTCCAAGTGCAAGTGTGACTGATAAAAATCATTTTAAGATCCACTTGTGGGCTGTGACCCACAGTTTGAAAGCCACTGTTCTAGGCTTTCATGATCACTTGCTTGAACTACTGCAGTTTCTTCCCAGCTTATCTCCTTCTCTCCTGTCCAGCCTCCATGCAGCTACCTTTCTAAAAGGGACAAACCTAGGGCTTTCCTGTTGACTCAAAGGTAAAGAATCTGCCTGCAATGTGGAAGACCCAGGTTCGATCCCTGGGTCGGGAAGATGCCCTGGAGAAGGGAATGGCTACCCCCTTCATTGCCGGGGATATCCCATGGACAGAGGAGCCTGGCGGACTACAGTCCATGGGGTCACAAAGAGTTGGACGTGACTAACACTTTCAAATACACAACATTCAACACTGCACAGATGATAGCAGTGTATGAGCCACATATATTCACAGTCTGGGGGAGGAGGACATTGCATATCATGTGGGCCACCCAGGGTTTGCACTTAGGTGCAGAGTAAATAAGCAGGAGGCAAGATTTGTAGTAATAAGAGGTGGAGGTGTCCCCTGGTTCTTTTAGTTTGATGGAAAAATCCAGTCTTGAAAATTCATGAGGTTGATGCAGGGGGGTAATATGCATATAGATGAATCCCTGGGAGATGTTTGGGACTTTCTGATTAGTATCAAAAACATTCAATCTGTAAAAGAGAAGAACTCATTGTCCACCTCTCCTGTTGACTGGATAATAGTCCAGACCATGGGACACAATGCAAACACTCAAGGAACTTACCATAATACCCTCCAAGTCTAAGCATGTTGTTGCAAATGACAACATTTCATAAAAATGTCTGAGTAGTATTCTATTGTATATACAGCCCACATCTTTTTTATCCATTCACCTGATGAACATTTAAGTTGCTTCTGTATCTTGGCAACTATAAGTAATGCTGCTGTGAACACTGGGCTGCAAGTATCCATTTTTGGCCATCCTGTTGGAATGAAGAGGTATATCATTGAGGTTTTCTTTATGTCTAATGATACTGAACATTTTTTCACGTGCCTGTTGGCCATTTGAACATATTCTTTGGTGACGTATCTAGTCAGTCTCTTAGAAGGAAAAGAAACAAAGAGTTAGTCACCCACTCATGTCCTACTCTTTGGGACCCCATGGACTGTAGCACACAAGTCCATGGGATTCTCCAGGCAAGAATGCTGGAATAGGCTGCCATGCCCTTCTCCAGGGAATCTTCCCGACCCAGGGATCGAACCCAGGTCTCCTGCATTGCAGGCGGGTTCTTTACCTTTTGAGCCACCAGGGGAGCATCAGTCTCTTAGCTCAATTTTAAATTGGGTTATTTTTCACTTTATTATTGAGGTCTAAGTGTTCTCTACATGTTCTAGTACAAATTCCTTATCTGACACCTGACCTGCAAACACTTTTCTCCTATTCTGGCAGTTTTCATTTTTTCTGAAAATTAAAGCGTAAACAGTTTAATTTTATAAAGTCCAATTTATAAACATTTTCTTTTGTTGTTCGTCCTTTTAGTGTTATATGTAAGAACTCATTTCTTAACCAAAGGTCTGAAAGATTCAATCTTATATTTTCTAAGAATTTTATAGTTTCACCTTTAAAAATTAAGTCTATGGCTCATTTTGGCTTAACTTTTGTGCATGGTATGAAGAAGGTACCCAGCTTACTTATTTAGCATACAATTATGCTTGTCTCAGCACCACTTGTTGCAAAGATTATAATATTATTCCTGCCACGTTGTACTAGCTTCTTTTTCTTGGCCGTGCCTGGCAGCATGTGGGATCTTAGTTCCTTGACCAGGGTTTGGACTCCCACCCCCTGCATTAGAAGTGTGGCGTCTTAACCACTGGAATGCCAGGGAAGTCCCACATTGACCTATCTTGATATGTAATTGAAGATCAACGGCAAATGTGAAGGATTAATTCTGGACTTTCAATTAGATAGAGTTCCTTGATCTAAAAAATAAAGAATAACAATAAGGTTCATTTTTTTCTATAACTTAGTCTCTACTTGTCCTTTGTCTTAGCTAGTGAGACCTCATATATCAGACACATCTGAGACGTGCTAAATTTTTGGTTTGTTTTTGGCAGAAGCATCAAGATGGGTTTTATTTTTAATTTTTTTGTTTATGTCTTGGCTGCATCACACGGCATGTAACATCTTAGCTTCCCCACCCTGGCCCTGGCAGTGAAAACATCTAGTCCTAACCACTGGATTGGCAGGAAATTCCCTTAGAGATTGGTTTTAAATCTTTTTTTCTGCCAATGCTGTAGACTTTTCGTCACTCCTCAGCTAGAAATGCATGTGTGTACATGTGCAAGTTTGTGTATATGCTGTGCGTGCTATGTGTATATGTATATGTATACACATATGCTATGTGTATAATCTGGGCCCTTTTTCACTTGTGTAAATTCAGTGCCATGAACAAGGGTGTGAAGGGTATGAGAATGCATGTTCCCCAAGGGCAATATTTCCTTATAATCTACTCGGAGAGGCAAAAAGGAAGCTTCTTTGCTGTTTCTCTGGGACCAGGAGGGAGGATCCTCTGATTCCCATTAACTGCATTGCTCTTACAATGCACCAGTGTCCTTTTCTAAATTTTTAATCTTTACTGGTTGATTTTGGCAGTGCTGGGTCTTTGTTGCTGTGTCAGCTTTTCTCTAGGGTGGCGAGCAGGAGCTACTCTCTAGTTTATGTCCTGGTTTCAAGTGAGGCTCTGTGTCTCCGGACTGAAATCACAGGACAAATATTCTATCAACACAGCCTTCCTGCACAGTGATTAAATGTCTGTGGACCTCTTCCCTGAATGGTGAACGGAAGTCCATCACTATGTCTCATGGATTCCTTACATAGGCACTGGGTGTTTTTAACCAGGAGAAAATTTAGTGATCAGGACCTTTCAGGCCCTTCATTATTTCTAGCATGCATAAATTTAACCTTCTTTCAATCAGGCCCAGTTAGTGACAGAAATGTTTGTCTAAAATTCCTGTTTGTTTTAAAAAGGAGAGTGGCCCTTTTGATCAATACCAAGGGTATGTCAGGTTCTGCGCTTAGGAGTGAGGCCACCCACGGTGAACACAGTCCATCCTGACCCTTCTCCAAATTACAGCTCCCCCATGGAAGATGGGCAGTTTAATTTTAAGGAAAGAAAGGATGAACTGGAAAGACATAATCCAGACTGCTTATCCTACGGCGTCAGAGAACAGGTCCAGGAAGGAATACCATTTCAGCTAAGTTGGGAAAAGATAAATCTTTTATGATAAGGAGCAGTCCTCCATACCTTCTGGGACCCTCCTCCCCTCACCTCAGATCTTACCACCAGGTCTTCACCTGTCAATCAAGCCCCCAGGAGGGACAATTGTGATGTGTGTTGATTTTCCATGGGGACTCCAAGGAAGGGAAAGGAAAACAAGAAGATCCTGCCTGGTTAACCTGAGCACATTGAGACCCTCCCAATCGATCCACAGGTTTCTTTGTGGAGGAGAAAACAAAGACCACACCTGCAGAGAAAGTGTTTATTGATTGGACCCACGCACAGGGCGAACAAGGTGGAGATGCTGGGAAAGGATTTCACCTGTCTTTCAGAGCATCACCTTCATGCTTGACAGTTCTTGATTTTCTTCACTGAGGTTTCAAAGGCTTGACTGCATCCACGGCCATGGGTGGATGCCCTAGACGGTAACTGAGTATAGTTTTGGGGTCAATGTTAACAAGTCTATTTTGCTTCTCAGTCAGTCCCACGGAGGGCAAAGGTCTCTTTCTCCTTTGCTCTCTGCTCTTCCTGTCTGGATTCTGCTATCTTGCACCGTGCTCCTAAGACTTGTCCTGTCTCTGCCCCTCTCTCACCTTCTCTTCCACCTTGTCTTGGCACTGATCCTCTCCAGATCCTCCTCCTTCCATTTGTCATCCTGCAAACTCTCTTTCTCCTTCCTTCTGGGACGCTCCTCTCTCCACTGTTTGCATTTTGCCTTTGTCTCTTCCTCTGTTTCCATCTTTTGTCCCCTTTCTCCTCTTCATCCTCTTTGCATGTTTCTCTGTGTGAACCTCTGCTCCTCACTCTTCCTTCTGCATCTTTCTCCCTCATCCCCTCCTTCCACCTGCCTCCTCTCTCCTCACTGGGCATCTGATTCCACCTCTTTATCCAGCTGTGTCTCTTCCCTGCTCACCCCTGTCTCTTCCCACCCTCCCCAGACACTCTTACCTCTTTTTATGACTAGCAATACTTCCAAGCTCTATCCTGGTCATAGTTTGGAGAGAGTGAGCACCAAGACCCCAAAAAACTTCCAATTCTTGTGCAAGTCTCATATTTCTTGCCTCCAAAGATAAAGGGAAAGACACACTTGGCATAGTCTGAAAAATAGAATGGGTGAAACATTAATTGCGGGAGGGTTATTTTTAATCATATCAAGAGAAAAGGGGGCTTCCCTGGTGGTCCATGGTAGAGAATGCCTTGCAATGCAAGGGACATGGGTTCAAACCCTGGTCTGAAAGATCCAGCAGGTGGAGGAGCTGTTAAGCCCAGCCATCTCAACTACTGAGCTGACACCCTGCAACTACTGAAGCTTGTGCTCCTAGAAACCTGTGCTCCCCAACAAGAGAAGCCACCGCAATGAGAAGCCCACGCACCAACAGAGAGTGGACCCCACTCACTGAAACTAGAGAAGACCCAGAGCACAGCAACAAGACCCAGAGCAGCCGAGAGAGAGAGAGAGAGAGAGAGAGAGAGAGAGAGAGAGAGAGAAAGGGACATGAATGGAACACATGGGGCTGGGTCAGGAGACACCTGAATCTACCCTCTCAGTTCAGTCACTGGGTCGTGTCCGACTCTTTGCCACCCCATGGACTGCCTCATGCCAGGCTTCCCTGTCCATCACCAACTCCCAGAGCTTGCTCATATTCGTGTCCAAGGCTTCCCTCCAGGAGACAGTTATGGACTTTCCCCCTTCATCTGGGAAGCCAGGTGCTTCTCGCATGATGACAGGCTGCATGCTTACCTTTCTTGGTACAGAATTTCCATCTTCCTGTGTAGTCTGCATCGAGGGAACACCACGGGAATATGGAACTCTGGAATGTGCAGTCGAAATGCTTTTTCTTTCCATAGGTGAATGGGAAAACACATTGTTCATCTGAAAGAAGAAAGACATTGTTCGCTTCTTTGGCACTTAGGGTTTCCTGATGTCTGTCGTAACCCTGGCAAAATCTCCTTTCACTCCTGCCCATCACCCCCAAGCCTGCTGTGTACAGAGCCCCTTGCTAAGCATCGGGGGTGTCAAGGTCAATGTGGTGTGGTCCCTCCCTTGGGGAATAGGAAGTCTTCTCTAACTTTGGGAAGTTTCTACTTTATTTATTTATTTTTGGCCAGTGAAGAAAATTTTATTTAGAAATATAAGCCTATGTGCTGTTCTGCGCTTAGTTGCTCAGTCACGTCTGTCTATAGATACAGAGAAAGTGATATAAAGAGTGACTACTAAGTTGCTCCAGTTGTGTCCTACTCTTTGAGACCCCATGGACTGTAACCAGCCAGGCTCCTCTGTCCATGGGATTTCCCAGGCAAGAATCCTGGAGTGGGTTGCCATTTCCTTCTCCAGGGGATCCTCCCCACCCAAGGATCAAACCTGTGTCTCTTAAGTCTCCTGACCTGGAAGGCAGGTTCTTTACCACTAGCACCATCTGGGAAGCTGTAAAGAGTGACTAGTCGACATGTTAGAAAGATATAAATTGGGAGGTTTTGTGTACTGATGTGAATTTGGGGGAGTTTCTACTTTAGCATCTGACACCAGCTCTGAAGCCTGGACCCTGTGTTCAGAGTCCAGTCCCACCATCTACAGAATGTTCGCCCCCAATGCTGGTGTGGATAACCCCTGGGCGTATGTGTGTGAATGAGAGGGTAACATTGGCCCATGCTTGTGATGTGTCTTGGAGGATCCCCATCACAGTTGCCCTGCCGCACACGTTAGTTTGTTGTACTGGACTGTTCTTATGTTGTCATTCTCTTCCCTTGTTGATTGTCTTAGGTATCTGCAGCAGGAACACTACCTTCAGCTGATTCAGCAGAAGACTTGTCTCCAGTATGTTCAGTAGAAACATCGTTGTTCTCATCTGGCAGAAAAGAAGGAGAAAAGGACACCAATGGAGGAGGAGCAGGAACGAAGCAGGGTCAGGTGGGACAAATTGAGAGAGTAGCGTGGACATATACACACCACCATGTGTAGAATAGATAGCCAGTGGGGAGCTGCTATATAACACAGAGAGCCCCGCCCAGCCCGCTGCTATCAACCTAGAGGGATAGGATGGTGGGGGGTGGGAGGGAGATTCGAGAGGGAGGGGATATATATATATATATATACACACACACACACATGCATATGTAAGTGTGTGTGCGTGCTCAGTCACATCCAACTCTTTGCAATCCCATGGACTGTAGCCCACCAGACTCCTAAGCCCATGGGATTCTCCAGGCAAGAATACTGGAGTGGGCTGCCATCTCCTCTTCCAGGGCATCTTCTCAACCCAGGGATCAAACCAGTGTCTCCTGCACAGGCAATCGGATTCCTTTACCACTAACCCCATGAGATGCCCATGTGCATATATAAATATATATGTATATATGTACACACACACACACACGTATGGGTTTCCCTCCTGGCTCAGATGGTAAATAATCTGCCTGCAATGTGGGAGACCTGGGATCAACTCCTGGGTTGGGAAGATCCCCTGGAGGAGGGCCAGGTAACCCACTCCAGTATTCTTGCCTGGAGAATCCCCATGGACAGAGGAGCCTGGTGGGCTACAGTCCATGGGGTCACAAAGAGTTGGACACGACTGAGGGGCTCAACACACACTCACACATATCTACATATATATGCACCTATGGCTGACTGGAGACGCTGTATGACAGAAACCAACAAAGCACTGTAAAGCAATGATCCTTCGATTAAAAATAAAAAACCAAAAATGTGATAACAGAAAAATAACAACAACCAAAAAAGAAAAAAGCAGGGCCACAACCAGAATATCATCTGTAGTGGGACCTGCCCTGCATCTGTAACTTTTATCTTCTTTTATATTTTGAAGTCCTTGTTCACCCTGAAGAGAGAAACTTGCTGCCTAGAAGGCTAACACAACAGGTGAGGGAGACACTGACATGCTCTCACCGCTTGCCTGTGGACCCACGTGGATTCAGCTACAAAGCAGAGACGCTGTTGCAGCAGACAAGTCATAGGACCTGCCTGGAGATCACACTGTCCTTCTTGTTTCCCACGACATTACGGAAAACGAATCTGCACGGACTTTTCAGCCAACCCAATATTTCAAACAGTAAACTCTACAAAGATAGGAAAACTCTTCATTTGAACAAGATAACCAACGCTGGGAGTAGGCTGACTTCCCTGATGGCTCAGATGGTGAAGCGTCTGGGACAGTGCGATGGAGATCTAGGAATAAGGCAGCTCCCAAAAAGGCCTTTGGCTTGACTGCCAAACTCACCTGGGTTTCAGTGTCATAGAGTTGGTGGAAAATTAATAAAATGTGAAACCCTTCATAGCGTCTTGCCCTTGGGACATATTCAAGAAATGGGAGACAAATTTGTAACCACTATTATTATTACCATGACTTTTACACATCCGTCCATGTCTGGGGCAGGATCTCTCTCACCAATTCTAGCCCATCTCCCCTCTCTCACCTCCATTCACAGGGACCAGTTGTAGAAACACAGATGCACCAGCCCAAATCAGAAAGAGCCCCAAACGCGGTGCCATGGTAGGTTGCTCTCCTGTGGCTGACCAGCATCCATCTGCTCCTTTTATAATCGATGACCTCAACATCCCTTCAACCTGATAAGAATCAAGCTACCTGGACGGGGTTTGATCATTCCCCAGCCTGAGAGCATGAAGTTCAAGTTTATCTCTCAGATGGAAAATGCAGGACATTGGCTGGCAGTTTAATGTCTCCAAGCCTCAGTGGTTTGAAATGCTTTGAAAAGGAGACCTAGGTCCAGTGGTTATGAATTCAATGAAGCAGCAGTGAGCGATAGCAGGAAGCAAGATCTTAATTCCCTGTCCAGGAATTGAAGCTGGGTAGGCTGGATAAGAACCAGGAATCCTAGCCATCTGACAGCAAAGACTAGACTCTAGAAGCAATTTTTTCCTGGATCTTTGCTCCCAGTGAAAAATGCATTTGTCACAGAGGCAAAAATTTTGAATGCAAGTACAAAGTTTATTGTTAGAGACATAGTACAACAGGTGGGAGAGCACAGGGGAAAAAAGTTTAGTTAAGATAGAAGCAAGGCAGAGACACACAACCAGAGAGAAAGAGTGTGGGTGTCCCTTTTAGGGAAGAGGAGCGCAGCAAAGAGACTGTTAAGTCACTTACATAAGTGAAGTGAGTTCTTCTGGGTGTGTGTTTATCTTTAGCCAGTTATCTGGTTTCTTTTTCTACACCTAACCTACCCTGGGGCCCTCCCCTGGGTGCTCATGTACCCCCTCAGCCAGGATGGATCTCAAGTGAAGGCTTCTGGGAGGAGCAAGACTCATTATGGCCTCCTGTTTTCTTCTGACTTTTGACCCACAAGGAACCTTTCTGCTCACATAGAGTGACTCACTTGTTCCCAAAAATGGAGCACTGGGAGTGTGGTGATCCCTTAATCCTTTACTCAAACAGGGTTTTCCCCACTTTGTCCTTGCCTTGATTATTACCTTGACAATTGCCATGAACATTACCTTAAGGTGTTTACAAGAGACAAAGACTGGCTATTAACCTTGTTTTAATGGTTACTTCCACTTCTGAGAGCAAAAGGAGGTTGATGATAAGTGCCTTAACTGGATCTCATCTATCTCTTGTCTCAGAAAATGCTAACCATTCTAAGTATCCAGCCTGAAGCTCACTTCTTCATATCCCATGAAATGCAAACAGGAGGCTAGTTGTAAATATCTAACCTGGAACTCATTGATCTCCTGCCTGAGTTAAGGCTCCATGCTTCCACTGCAGGGGACATGGGTTCAATCCCTGCTCAGGGAGTTAAGATCCTGCCAGCCACATGGTATGGCCAAAAAAAGAGACAAAGACACTATTGACTTCCCAGTTGTAGAGACCACTGATAGTCTGTGGTGTGAACTGTTTTAGAGTCAGGCACAATATCTGTTAGATTTGCCTAATCAACCACTTAAAGCAAGCAGAGTGCCATGTGACTCTGTAGATGATACTTCTGGATATTTTTGGGGGAAAACTAAGAAACATAATGACTTGGTTGGTTGCTCCTCATGTCACCATACTAAACGGTGAAAGAAGAAGGTGAGCTCAGGAATTCAAACTTTCAGCCCAAGTGCTGCCTAAATGACTTGAGAGTTTCTTGACCCTTTTCTCCTAGAGCTGCATGGCTGAAATCTGGAAATCAAACATAGAACCTCATCTTTCCACTGACAGATTTGGCAACTGGATTGCAATGCAAGTTGAACCCTCAGCCTCTCTATATGCCTACATTTGTTGTTGTTTCTTTGTTTCTTTTGATCAAGCTTTGTGTCATGGGGATTTGTTAATTTTGAGACCAGAAATGGAACCCCAGCCCCCTGCAGCGGAAGCCTGGGGTCTTAACCACTGGACCACCAAAGAAGTCCCTGTCTATCGTTTGAATTGTCCTTAGTGTATAGGATTTATGATATAAAACTTTATTTCTTTTTTTGGTCTTCCCTGGTAGCTCAGTGGTAAAGAATCCACCTGCCAGTACAGAGGACACAGTTTCCATTCCTGGGTCAGGAAGATCTCCCGGAGAAGGACATGGCAACTCACGCCCTTATTCTTGCCTTGGAGATTCCAAGGTCGGAGGAGCCTAGAGGGGTCCGTGGGGGTCACAAAAGAGCTGGACACAACTTAGCAACTAAACAGCAACAAGAACGGCAACATAGCTGCTTAGCTGTGTTAGCTTCCACTGCTGAGAAAAATGAATCAGCCATACATACACACATATCCCCTCCTTTCTGAGTTTGAGTTTCCCTCCCATTAGTCTCTGTCTTTTTTTTTTTTTTTTTTAATGATTTTCATGTATTTCTTTGTTTTTGCCTGTGCTGGGTCTTCGCTGCTCCAAGAGCTTTTTCGCGAGTTGTGGCAAGTGGGGGGCTATGCTCTAGTTCCAGTGTTCAGGCTTCTCATTGGAGTGGCTTCTCTTGCTGTAGGGCACAGTCTGTGTTAGCACAGACTTGGTACTGGTGCCGCACAAGCTTAGTTTCTCCAAGGCACATGGGAATCTTACCAGATCAGGGATCGACCTCAGGCCTCCTGCATTGATAGATGGTAAAGACCAATGAGCCACCAGGGAAACCTTCCTAGCATCTTTGGTGTTAAAAATAACTTCTTGTGGAATTCCCTGGTGATAGAATGGTTAAGATTCTGCACTTTCACTGCCCAGGGCCCAAGTTCAATCCCTGGTCCGGGAACTATAATCCCACAAGCACCATGCCAAAACAACAGCAACAACAACAAAATAAAACCCACCAACAAAAAACCCGCCCAAAATGAAACAACAAAAAACTCTTGTTTTAAGATCACCAGCCCAGGTTGGGTATATAAGACAAGTGCTCTGGCCTGGTGCACTGGGAAGACCCAGAGGGATCGGGTGGAGAGGGAGGTGGGAGGGGGGACTGGGATGGGGAATACATGTAAATCCATGGCTAATTCATTTCAATGTATAACAAAAACTACTGTAATGATGTAAAGTAATTAGCCTCCAACTAATTAAAAAAAAAAAAAAACTCTTGTTTTAGATGAAAGCCCAGACTCAATGAGAAACTTATACCAGACCTGAGAGATAGAAATAAATGGAGAGAGAGAGATAGAGACAAAGAGGGTGGGGGAGAAAGCAAAAGGAGAGAGAAGCCTTTTTTTTTTTTTTTTTTAAGTTGGGGTGTGGGAACAGAATCAGTGAGAGGCATAGCAGATTCCCAGTCTTAGGAGGAGGATGGAGGTATGCAGGCTGCCAGAGAAGTGGACCATTGACTCTATCCCTTGCTGTTCAGTAGTACTGGTAGGATCAAGAAGGAAACAGCCTTGCTGTTCTGATCATCCTCTATCCAGCCTACCGTAAGTATTAGAAAAGAACCAAATACACAACACCCAACACTGCACAGATGAGGCTGACAGCAGTGTATGAGCCACGGATATTCACAGTCCGGGGAGGAGGACATTGCACGTCACGTGGGGCCACCCAGTGTTTGCACTTAGGTGCAGAGTGAATAAGCAGGGGCTGTAGGCTTATTATTACTACAAAACAGGCTTCGTAGTAACAAGAGGTGGATGTGTCCCCTGGTTCTCTTGGTTTGAAGGAAAAATCCAGTTATGAAAACTCATGAAGTTGATGCAGGGTGGTAATATACATATAGTTGAATCCCTGGGAGATGTCTGGGACTTTCTGATTCGTATCAGGAACATTCAATCTGTAAAAGAGAACTCATTGTCCACCCCTCCTGCTGACTGGTCAATAGTCCAGCCCGTGAAACCCAGTGTGAGCACCCAAGGGACTTTCTTATATTCTTGTTTTGTAAATTTTTAAAGCATATGTATATATATTCTTTTTGTTGATTTATTTGGCTGCTCCAGGTCTTTTAGTTGTGTGCACAGGCTTAGCTACCCATCAACACGTGGGATCTTAGTTCCTTGGCCAGGAATTGAATCCAAGTACCCTGACACTGAAGCTGAAGCTCCAATACTTTGGCCACCTGTTGGGAAGAGCCGACTCATTGGAAAAGACGCTGGTGCTGGGTAAGATTAAGGGCAGGAAGAGAAGAGGGCGACAGAGGATGAGATGGTTGGATGGCATCACTGACTCAATGGACGTGAGTTTGAGCAAACTCGGGAGACAGCGAAGGACAGGGAAGCCTGGAGTGCTGCAGTCCATGGAATTGTAAAGAGTCACACAGGACTTAGCTACTGAACAACCCCTGAGTTGCAAAGCAGATTCTAAGCCACTGGATCACCAGCAAATTTCCTATTCTTGTTTTTTTTTTTTTTTTTACAAGACGAAGGAAGTAAGAGGAATAGTTTATTTTTTTAATTAATTTATTTATTTTTACTTTAAAATATTATATTGGTTTTGCCATACATTGACATGAATCTGCCATGGGTGTACATGAGTTCCCCATCCTGAGACCCCTCCCCTATCCGTCCCCATCCCATCCCTCTGGGTCATCCCCCTGCACCAGCCCCGAGCACCCTGTATCATGCATCGAACCTGAACTGGCAATTCATTTCACATATGATAATTTACATGTTTCAATGCCATTCTCCCATATCATCCTGCCCTCGCCTTCTCCCACAGAGTCCAAAAGACTGTTCTATACATCTGTGTCTCTTTTGCTGTCTCTCGTACAGGGTTATTGTTACCATCTTTCTAAATTCCATGTGAAGTCGCTCAGTCGTGTCCGACTCTTTGCAACCCCATGGACTGTAGCCTACCAGCCTCCTCCATCCATGGGATTCTCCAAGCAAGAGTACTGGAGTGGGTTGCCATTTCCTTCTCCAGGGGATCTTCCCAACTCAGGGATCGAGCCGGGGTCTCCCGCATTCCAGGCAGACACTTTAACCTCTGAGCCACCTGGGAAGCCCATATATATGTGTTAATATACTGTATTAGTGTTTTTCTTTCTGGCTTACTTCACTCTGTATAATAGGCTCCAGTTTCATCCACCTCATTAGAACTAATTCAAATGTATTCTTTTTAACGGCTGAGTAATATCCCATTGTGTATATGTACCACAGGTTTCTTATCCAT